ATGACTTAGCCTTTTGTTTTGTCAACGGATTAGAGCAGCCCTTGTACTTATATTAATAAATTATTTTAATTTATTGATCAAATATATATATATATATATATACATATAGATTGTCTTTTCAAACTTTTTTACCGAACCCATCCAAAAATTCATCTTATAATTAATATTTTCAAAACTTAATTGTTGGATTGATAGTTTTATTCATATAAATCATGTATATATGTAAATTCTTAGATTGATCTAAAAACTTAACCAATTTCTTAATTAACAAGATTTAACACCATTGCCAACCACTTAAAAAATTCAATAGTAATTTTTTTTCCTTATAATCACTGTTAAAAAATTGAAAAGTTAGAGATTCAGGTTGTCATGACTCAAAAGCGTGGGCAGATAATACGTGCAAGAGAACCACAATCCAAAATACTAGAGTATCTTTTCAAATAAACTATGTAAATTAAGGAATAGCAGGCACAGAAATAAAATGTTATTCAGCACAAACCATCTCCTCCTCGGCCATTGCAACAATGAGATCTGGACCTCAGGTGAGGAGAGATATTGAAGAAATTAGGTAGTGTTGCTTCTTAATGGGTTTGGTTTCACCTACTGATTATGACTCAAATATTGTCACCAGCCACCAAATGTCGTAATGAAGAGTCCTGTACTAGTCCAAAGGAAGTTAAAACGACGCCGTTTGATTTACTAAATGCTCTTAGCCTTTGACTTTCACCTGCCTGCTACTTTAGTCCTCTAACTATGTCCACATCAGGTTGAAGTCCCTACAAATTGAGACTCATATTTTAAACATCTTCAATTAGGTACCAAATGACATTTATGCTATGTTTGGATTGAGAAGAAAGGAGAGGAGGGGAATTATATCCCTCCATTCCCCTCCCCTCCCCTCCTTATTTGGGTAACTAGATAAATTAAAAGAAAAAATAAATTAAAGAAAAAAAATTTTCCCTTCCCTTCTCTCTAATTTTTTTTAATAATTGAATAAAAAAATTTCCCCTCCTCTTCATTCCTGTCACGCCTCAGAACCCAAATCTGGGGACGTAGCAGACGTGGTGCACTCGTGAGATGGGTCCCACAAGTGCACAAGGCTTGGAACTTATTCAAATCACAATATCTCAAGAATAAAATCTACCTTACAAAAGAATGATAAAATCTAAACTTATATCCAATAAAAATGGCTAGCTTCTACCTCGTCACTCTCCGTGGTTTCCCCGTCCTTGGTTTCACTTCCTGAAATGGTGGACAAGGAAAGCTATGTAATAACTCAATAAGTAAATATGGATAGCCCTTGGTAAAAATTTAAGCATGCCAGATAAACCATGTAAGCATAACAGAACTTTCAATGCTAAGCCGTTAATGCAAAATCAAATTCAATTCAATAGCAAAGCATTCAATGACAAATCGTCAATGCAGAAGAAAATTCAGTAGTCTCATCTATAGGTCATGGCTAGCATTTATAAACCTCCCACTAGTGGGCACAGCAATAGTACCAGTGTTTAACAACTGCCACTGGCAGGCGTTAGTAATAACTAATGTTTAACCCCATTGGCAGGGTTACAGAAGTACCAGTGTTTAACAAACTCCCACTGGCAACGTCAGTAATGGTACCAGTGTTTGCAAACTTCCATTGGCAGGCGTCAGTAATTATCAATGTATTATCCCATTGGGAGGATTACAGAATGGATCGGTCATATCAGTAAACATGTCGACATGTGCTAACGTTTATAAACCTCCCACTAGCGGGCACAATAATACATGATCATATCAGAGACAAAACCATGCAAGATTTACAAAAGAAATCCGTAATTCACAATCAAATCTCAAATTTCAAAAATAAACCGAAAAATTTCATGTGGCAATGCTCAACTCCAAAAAAACAATGAAATTCTCATTTTCATTCCAATCATACTCAATTCTAGAAAAACAATGATATTCTCATTTTCATTCCAATCCTTATTGTTAGTATTCACATTTACGATTGAGCAGTCTTGTTCAATAAGGTACCAACAACGTACAACCGCTTCCATAGCCGCCCCAGCTGTCGTAAAAGGGTGGGGTTCTGGTTTCACTCACTAACGAGTCAATGTTAGTTTTTCCACCAGTGGATGTAATCGGGCCAATCCCTTTCTTTGCATGTGCTGTCTTTTATTCCTGTCACCGTTCCACATAGACGTAATCAAAATCCTACCCTAGCTACGGCTAAAAAATATTAATTACATAGAAAATTCCCAAAACTACACGGCAATAATTTGGTGCCCTTTTTGGTAAGGTCGTTAAGATAATAATTGGTATATTTTTTATTTTACATATTTAATAATAATTTTTAATTTAATCATT